ACCACAAAACAGACAAAGTAGTAGAAAATGAAGAAGCTAAAGTGCTCTGGGACTTTAGAATCCAACAGACAAGCACCTGCCACACAGCAACCCAGACTTAACAATTGTTAATTAATAAATTCTGGATAGTGGACATTACAATACCTGGAGACAGCAGAATAGAAAAGAAAAACATAAGTCCACATTGGGCAGAGAAAATCACAAAATATAAAGACCTGCAAATAGAAGTGGAATGACTAGGACAAAAGAAAGCAAAGATAGTACCAATAGTTATAGGTGCCTTAGGTACAATCCCAAAACATCTGGGGCACCACTTGAAGACCATCAGCATTGACAAAATCACCATCAGTCAATTGCAAAAGGCAGCTTTACTTGGAACAGCGTACATCCTGAGACGTACCTTTAACACCATCAGACAACAACATCTTCCTATCCCAGGTCCTTGGGAATGATTCGATAGGTGGATAAAAATGCCAAATCCAGTCTAAACATCTGGCTGACTGTGCAACCAACAATAATTCCTGATCAAGCTTGTGCAGGCAATATAGGAATGCTGGATAAACGAATCTGGGCTTTGTTTCTCAATTTGCATACATAAGTCCACATTGGGCAGTTTCTGGATTGTAAAGTTTGAAAACTCCTGTGATTTATAAATTAAAATGGCATTATTTAAAGTTACCCAACCCTAACACCAATTTGATCATTAATTTTATTCACAGGAGGTATTGTTCACATACTTTTAGGAGACTGCTACTGCAAATTTTGAGAATCACCGACATAAGCATTTCAAATATAATTAATAATTTCCACAGCATGCATCTGCAAAAATGTATTTATTTTTATATGTCCTAAATCTTCTTAACAATTCATAGGCATAGTTCACACCACTTTGATTTAATTTAATTTTGGGACACAAACCACCATCTTGTAGCAGTGAATTGTTTTTCCTAAATATTCACTATTATAAGGCAATATTTTGTCTTCCTAATTGCAGTGCATACATTTTATAGAGAAAAATAAAATAACCTATTTAATTATTTCTCCATTTTGTCCAATATTATCAAATACTATCTGGCAAGTTTCTAAAGAATTAGAAAATATCCACTTTGCTACAAGGTTCGGCATTTTGTGGACCAAACAAACTCCTTTAACATTGAGTTATGATTCCACTTGGGCTTGGCCCTGCTCAGTGTAGCAGAAGAAAGGAATAGTAATATTCTACTAGGGTATAAGAAATCCCTCAGACTAAACACTTCCCCATGTCTCAAACTGATGGTTCTCTTGGGGTAATGGGAGAAGAAAATCAATGGATGAGAGAAAAACACTTAATCCTTTCCTCTAGTTCTCCCCTGCAAGTCACTTTCACATTTTCTTTTCCCAGTCTGGATCTGATTCTAAAAAGGAACCAAAGTGAAATTTGCTTTAGTGGGGAATTTGTAAAGGGAGAATCAGTGGGCATGGGAGCGCAAGACATTGTGCTGTCTCAGATGAAGAACAAGATGCTGTTCCCTGGATTAAGAATTGAATTTTATGTCAAAAATGATGGCTGGAAAACTACTGTATTCCTACGCCTAAGGACAGCAGGCCAGTTCAGGCTGACCCAGTGCCTTGAGGCTGTGAGGGTCTGGATGGGGAGGAACTGGCTCTGACTCAACCCTAGCAAGACAGACTGGCTTTGGGTTTTTGTCCCCTCCCTGGATGCAGTATGTTATCTTTGACTCTCAGCAGGGCAGCACTCTCCCAGATAGAGCTGGTGCACAATTTGGGGGCCCTCCTGGACTTGCAGCTCCTGGTTGAGGAGCAGGTGGCAGCTGTGGTTGGGGGGGGGACTTTGCACAGGTATGTCTTGTGTGCCAGTTGCACCCATTCCTGGACTGGGAGGCTTTGGTCACTCCCCAGCTGGACTTTTGCAATGTGCTCTACATGGGGCTGCTCTTGAAGACCACTCAGAAATCAGAACTGGTCCAGAATACAGTAGCTCGCACAGTGCTGAGCACCCCTCAGTTTGCCCAAGTTGTACTGTTGCTGTGTGAACTGCACCAGCTCCCAGTTTCTTTCTGGGTGCAATTCAAGGTGTTGGTTAGTACCTTTAAAGCCCTAGATGGCATGGGGCCAGGTTATTTGTGGGACCGCCTCTCCCTGGAGGTGTCTGCCTGTTCTGCCAGGCTAGACAGGGTGGGCACACTCCAGGGCCCTTCCCTTAAAGGATGCCATCTAGTGGGGCCTAGGAAGTGTGCCTTTTCCTTAGTAACCTCTGCCCTGTGGAATACCTCTCCCCTGGATCTGGCAGCTCCCACCCTTTTAGCCTTCCAGAAAACCATGAAGGTTTGGCTTTTTCTTAAGGCACTGGGATAGGTTGAGGTTGGGGCCCAAGGATTGCACGGCTCGATGGACTGGAGATTGTGGGTTTTCTTGTCTTTGGTTTTATTATTGCTATGAGCCACCCACAGTTGTGCTTTTCAAGATGGGCTGCCATATAAGATAGACAGACAGACAGACAGACAGACAGGCACTTGGTCTCCCTCTCCCTTTCTTTCCCCTTTTGGGAAGAGAGATAAAAAATGTAAAAGAAATCAAAGGATATCAAAAGATTATTGCCTTCACAGAGACCTCTAGAAGGATCCCAGAAGCAGGCAAAATTTTGTCATCCAACAAAGAAAATAAGAGGAGGAGTGCAGAAGAATCCCTTCAATCCACAACCTTTAATTGTCCACAACCAATTGGGACAACTGCGTCCCTCTCCCTGAACTTACACCAGAACGAAAAAGTGGTTTACCATCTCTGTCTGTCATTGCCTCTCAGCATATATCAGCCCACGTCTTTTATACAGAAATTAGTTTTATTGAAAGGCATTTGAGTTATGCTACATTCATAGTTTAAAGTGTGTCAGATGAAAACTTTGAATCTCCTGAGGGTGTGCATTATTATGTCAGTAATCAACCAGTGTAACTGAATTCTGCACACATTTCATTTTCATCCTACCTACCCCCTTACCCTACCTCCAAATTTTCAAAATAAGGAGCAAAGGAAGGCAATTGGGCAACAGAAAAGAATTACTGAGACGTTATCCAGGGGTTCACAATCTAAACTGACAAGTGAGAAGCAAATTAAAGAATACTGTTGCTAGGAAATATCAAATTGGTTTGGAAAAAAGTTCCTTTTGTGCTGGGCTTAGAAAAAAAGAGCCACACTTACAAAAAAATTGAACAAATGCTTCAATTATTGTTCATTGCTGCATTTGGCCACCAACCAACCCTTACAATGGTGTAAAATTTTACAGTCATTAACTGTAAAATATATTGTACTAAGAGGGCATGACTAACTTGGAAAATATAAATGCTTATAGTTGGCAATAGACTGACATCAACATGTGATCATTCTTTTAGATACTTTGGGGTTCTTTCAGTCATTTACAAGATCTCTAATTTCTCCCTCTCCCTTTCTCACTCACAAACCCACAAACACAGAGGTTTGATTCATAAATTATGCAGCTTAGCCGTAATGTGGTTTGCTTAGTTTTAGCTGAAAATGCGATGTGTTGAACTCTGTCAATGATCTCAATTTAAGCAATACAGTAGGATGATACAGGCCGGGTTAAAATAAAATTCTACTAACATCTGAAGTTTTGTCTATCTCTCATCTATCTGCTTTTGGGGAGAGAGATACGAACTTAAAAGAGATCAAAGGTATCAAAGGATTATTGACTTTGCAGTCATCAAGTTGGTCAGAGACTTCTAGAAAGATCTCAGGAGCATTAGTTCTTCCTCCTTCCTCTTTACACACTTTGCTTCCTTCCCCCATAAAGAAAAAAAAATGACCAAATACATTAAGGATTTGTCAGTTCTATACAGCAGGAAAAAAGGGACCTCATTTTAAAAACTCCTAACCCTACTTTCTTTTGAGGGCGTGGGTGGTTTTAAAAATCTATGGTGATTTATTCAATCTGGTAGAATGCAGGCTAGCTCACACTGGGTTATTTAACCTCGAGAATGTTTAGAATGTGTGCTATTCCTTCTAATGCAATAAATTAAGAGTCCTAGTTCTGATCAGCAGTGAGGGTTTGGCATGAGGCACAGACTTTTTCTAAAGTTGTGGATGACAGTTTGCTCCAATTTTCCTTTTCTTAAGTTCACTGTTGAGTTTCAAACTGTAGGAGAGAATCCAGTCTTTCTGTCTGAAAGTATCACTAAGTTGTATCTGCACATTAGTTTAAATTAGAAGACATCATAAATATCAAAGCAAACTATTTTAAGACCATTTTTGAAATTGTACCTCTTTATAAAGTATTGTTGGTGTTATAAAAAAGTCATTTTTTGTGAGATGGGCAGCTATATAAATATCAATAAATTAGAAAAATAAATTTGCATTTAAATAAATCTCCTTGTAAATGCTAGAAAAATTAGGAAAGATGCTGTAGCAGTTTCTTCTACCCTAAGAATATAAACCACCAGAATAAACTGTAACAATACATAATTGAGATCAATGGGAGTAAATGCACTGATTAAATTTTTATATCAGTAAAAATTAATTTTTACTTATTTAAATGGGGCATGAAGTCCTTTTGATAGATTGAATTTCAAACCTTCCAGCTCTCCTAAGCATGTGTAAAATTTATCTTACTTCAGGGGTGGATACTAGACAACTATAATGAATGATAAACCAAATAATACATTTGGTTTAATAGCTGCTACAGAAGATTTTGAATGTCATGTGCAGTGATCCAAGGATATTCTGAATAAAAAGGAAAATGGGGAATGCTGTGGGAATGACCTACTAGGGTGGAAAGGGATACAAATCACTTTGGATACCTGCTTAACAAGGATGTAAATATGTAAATAACTCACAAGACATGGAAATGGGTGTTGACTGTAACATATATCTTGTCTGTTCCACAGAAGAAACAGTATAGCTGTCAAAGGTTCAATGGAAAAAAAACTGAATTTGTGCGCTCCATTCTCATATGATGAAATATGAATTAAAATGCTGTATTTCTTCTGGTGTGTAATACAGAGATCATAAGAATGCAAACAGCAAGACACCCTTTGTTTTCTGTGCTTCTGCAAGTGGAAAAACGAATAGGGTTCTTTGTTGCTGTAGGAAACAGGATATATTCCCAGGAAGACAAATAAACCAAGATGTCATTCATTTCCGATCTCCTCTGGGGCTTACCCAGCATAGCATCTGCCAGCAAAAATGGTCTGAATGCACAATGCCATTGTGCACACAGAAGAGAGCAATTTCTCTGAAAATAAAGAAGACCCACATAGCTCCTGCCCTATCACCAGCCCCTATCTAGAGTTTAAAAAGGGCAATCTCTCCCTGTTTGAATGTCTTATATACCGTCAGGGTTTTCCTGTCCTGTCCAACCTCACAGCACAGCCTTTGTGAATTACAGCAAAATCTCCAAGGGTTCATTGATTGGTTCAAGGATTCTTTGGGACAAAAAAGGGAGGTTTACTTACAGGCAGATAATTAGTAGCAGCCTCTGGAGTTGGGATGGAGAATCACATCCACTTATAAATGGGTAACAGGGTGCTCTGCTGGAAGAGAAGGGGTGTGCGGCTAGCCAGGGAACCCTCGCGTCTGTGCACGCAGCCTTTGGATTCCTGTTCAACCGTCTGTGTGGTGTGGAAGCAGGCATCTGCCTTCACAGCCTAGTGAAAAACCCCTGTGTATCATTTTACCATATAAGGAGACAAAAGCACAGAGACACTCACGCTCTGTGCTCAGTGCAGCTGGCACTATCTGAAGGAGCAGATCCTCTCCACACCTCCCTCCGTCAAGTCATCACCCTGCCTTTTATCACTTCCATCCCATGGTGCTTTCAGTCATCGTCATCGTCGTCATCAGGCTCCCCACTCCTGTATTTGTTTCCTCGAGGCACAGAATTTGAAATCTTCCTTCTTAGCAATACCCCAATTTAAGCAACGGCAGCTTGCATCAGAAAGCGAGCAAGAAGTTCACAAATTAAGCCTTTAAGTATTTACTTTTGTGTCCACACCCTCTTCTGTATTAATCTTACGCCTCTTCACCTAGTTAAGGTCATAAACAAGAGGATGATGATATTGGATTGCACATTCTTTACTGCCCAATGTGAGATAGCCTATTATCCAGAGCAGCCTTCCTTCATTGAGATGTGAAGGCACCAAATTAGAGAAAAGTGGTGGACAGCAAGGGTGGTCAAAGGCCACAGGTTCCAGAATTCAATGGAATGTGGCGCTACCTCCTTTCCTTTTTCCTTTTTAAAAATGTTTGAACCTCACTATAGCTGAAACTGTCTGGGTGGTTTATAATAAACACACCAAAAAAGACAAAATAAATAATATAATTCAAGTTAAAACAGATCGAATAAAATCAAATAGCATACAAAATAAAGACACCATAAAACTAGGCAGCAACAAGGGGACAGTTGAAATCTAAAACAATATGAATTAAAATATGAGCATGATCAAAGCATGGTTAAAAAGCTGGGGAAATACTAAGGGCTTTTCCCCATTAGAAAGTTATACTGCTTTCCATTCATTGTTGAGCTGGCAAGTACGTCAGCATGAAATTTGTTGTCCCCATTGTCCATCCCTATTCTTTCTCTACTGTGTCTTTTCCCAGGCGTGGCCAATGATCTGACTTCCCTCCAAGTTAATATGTGAGAACAATCCTATCCAGCTTGAAGCTGCCCTTGGATAGTATAGAAATAAGGAGGGTGGGGAAGACTACTTAAACACAGGTACAACTAAGGACAACTTAAGCCTATCTCACTCAGGGGATAAGATGAAGGCAATATCTCATTGCCAGGACATGTTGCGTTGTGATTGGGTGCAAGTGGAGATGCAGCTAAATCAGATAATATGCCTATCTCATTTCTACCAGCACCTTTGCCATTCCTGCACTTTGGAGGAGCCAATAATTCAAGCTAAGACCTATTGCATGCAAAGCACGTGTGGCACCACTGAGCCATTGATGAAGATAATGCAAACCAATCTCAACTTGAGCATCATATCCATGGGAGGGCCACTTTGCTATCAAGCCCCTGTAACAAGAACAAATTCACCATATCTTCCCACAATTCTCAGGGTCTGCTAAACAACAAGTAAGTGTGACAGTAAAAGTTCATCAGAAACTAATTAAAATGTATATAATTGAAACAAGTAATATGCAGTCGTAAAGATATATTGTTCGAGTGTGATGGGGCAAGGAGGGCAAATTCAGTGATGTTAACATGCAAATGCTGTGGCTTATGTTACTTGCATCAGATGTCATGATACAAATATGTCATTGCAGCATTGGAGTGATGGCATCATCGTGTTTTTTATAGACTCCACTACTTGTTTATATTCTGTTTTGATCCAGTTTCTTGAACCAGATGAGTTTCACACAAGTTGTGTAAGGTAGAAGTGCTGCTTTAATCAGACATGAAAAACTTACCCTCACCAGCATGCTAACTCTTTCTATTAACTTTTTTATTTTTACCACATGAATATTTTACCATATATACATATATGGTGAATAAGTCTAGCAAATAACTTGAGCCTCATTGCTTGAACAGTTTTTGCTGTGTGGAATGAAACATAATGCTTCTTTGCAGCATGTATTTGATGTGTAGATTTTAGTACAACTAAAAGTTAGGTTTATGCATTACACTAAGCCATAATATATTGTCTTTATTCTGGGCTTAGTATATTTCATGAACCCAGCCAATTGTGGCTTATTCTACATATCACAGATAAGCAAAACCATTGCTTAGTGCAACATGTGAACCCAAAATACAGGTGGAAAACAAGCTGTATATATTTTCATAACTCTCTAATAAGATCATCCCTTTTCTATTCTTGCCACATTGAAATCTAATCATTCATGTGCATTTAACCAATATAACAGAAGGGAGACAGATTGCTTGTCTAGGGCTAAGAGGTTAGAAGTGCAAAAATTCAGACTATGATTAGATGGCAGACTTAGTTTCTGTATCTCTTCATGGCCATCTAATGAGCCTCTAGTATTTTTGCAGTCGAGAGCTGTAGTTCTACGCTTTTCACATTTGCATTTTTCTAATTCATACTTTAAAATTCCATTCAGATGCTTTACCCTTGAGAAGAAAGCAGAGATGGGTGCTATTTCATTCATTCATTTCAAGTAGTGGAAAACATTAAGGAGTTATTTCTCCCAAGTATTCTCATCCACTTCTAAGTACATACCTATTTGTATGAAACTGTCTAGCAAATAAGTGAGAGTGGCCTTCCAGATATTGCTGAATGGGAAATAATAATAATAATAATAATAATAATAATAATAATAATAATAATAATAATGCTGACTATTTTAGTGGCTGGGAACACTGGGATGTATGCTAACTAAGCCAACCTGCACGACTGGATTCCACGGATGGTGGAAATGAAATGGGAAGGACTTTCAGAGGGTAAGGATGGTGAAAATATTTCTTAGAAGCATGTTACAAAAAGAATGTTCTCCAAAGATGAAGCAGCTTTATGAAATATCCAGACATTTGAATGATGTCACAATAAGGAGTATTTCTGAAGAAAGTCAGGCTTTGTTTTAGTTTGTTTTAAGCCCTTATTCCTAGTCTGGCAAGTACTCAATGCGGTTAATTTTTTTAAAGGAAAATATTAAAAAAAGTAAAGGATGCATTTAAATTATACTAAAATTGCTACTAAAACCAATTGGCCATTGAACGTCTAGTGAGAGAAGTATGCTTCTACAGGTTTTCTGAACACTGAGAGAG